TTCAGGTTCGGGGAGGTTTCAGGTTTCGGGTGAGGTTTCGGGTTTCGGGTAAGGTTTCAGGTTTCAGGTAAGGTTTTGGGTTTTGGATAAGGTTTCGGGTTTCAGGTAAGGTTTCAAGTTTCGGATAGGGTTTCAGAAACTATAATCTGAAACCCGAAACTTTCAGATTTGGCCAAAAAGGTTTCGGTGACCAACACTAGTCTACACGATTCATTAACATAGGCCAAACCGTCCAATATTTCCCTCTATAGTTTCATACTGTCATCAGTTTTTTTTAACTTAGCGCAGACTACTCAGGAACATTCAACATAAGCAATTTCAAAAGTTTCTCTGCATATTTCATTAACACCATAAGGTCAGGCTTTTTTCTAATTAATCCATTTTTGCGAGTCTTGCTTGCTAAGCTTTGACGCTCTGCCGAGCTCAAGCAAATAGGACCATTTGGGAAACTGCTTAGACTGGCCCGAAGCAAAAGCATTACTACATCTGTGACATAAGTGCCCTCACTTTGTTCACTACATGCCATACTACTTGAAAATGCTGGATTATTCCACATTTCTCTACTAAATAAAACATTAAGAGGTTATTTAAAATATTTGTATAGTTAAAAAACTTAATGAAACACTTATAGTGTGTTCAATATATATGTTCCACTCTTTTTTCCAGCTTATTCTCATTTTCTACCCATGATAAATTATGTGTGACACCTCTAATCTCATCTGAAACTTCAAGCATATTAAAATTATTTATAAAATGTTCACATTTGTTGTTAACAGATGCGGGGATATCACATTTCATGTTCTCGCCCGGTGCCTAACAACAAATAAAAGATCATTACACATTCTCATATATACCGGTAGTAATTTAGCCGGGGTTGGGTAGAATATTTACCAAAAATGTGCGTTTCTGTCTTGGTTTCAAATTCTCTACTAAAGTTGAATCATTACTAAGAACCATACTTGCTAATGGATCCTTCCATTTAAGACTAAGAGGATCGATATTATCCAGGCCTTTCTTGAGAGCACTATAGAGAGATGCATCTGAGTTTGATTCTTGTGAAGCACCAAGTTTTGATTGCAATGCTCTCAAATTCTGTTCTATCTCCTCTTGAGCATTGTCAATGACCAATTCTTTTGCTTTCTTCAACGCCTTCATCTTCTTTAAGCCCACAATGCTCTTATATCCGTTCTCCATCTACAGCAAATTAATCTAAAAAGTTAGATTTGTGTGATCACATTTTCCGTAAACAATGCCATATTTGCACATGTGCTTAATCAGGCAGTTCAATCTATAATATACTGTCATTTAGTTATAGCCACGCACAGCCAGGGGGGAGCAGAAACCCTCGACATCTTGAGAAATTAATTCCTGAACACATCGCTCTTCCGGGCCGGCATTCCCCAGCCTTCAGCAACGACATACCAAATGACTTGGTAAAATACGCTGTAGTCTCATCATTGCAGGAATAGCATAAACGTTGAAAATTTAATCCACACTAACCTGTGGTAAAATCTTCGCTACTTTTTCTCTTCGATCAGGATCGGAATCGGAATCAGAATCAGAATCATCTAATGTTTCTAATGCTGAACTTACTGCTTGTTCTGCTAAATCTTTAACATCATTATATGCACCTAATGTGTTGTTATCCATCGTCAAATAAACAATAGATGCAGAACAGATTGCGTCCAAAGGCTCTTTTAATAAGAATGCTACGATTTTTGTGATTAAGCTAGACATGAGTAAGCAAATTTTACAAATTTATGCAATGTGTGAAAAAAATTATCAGCGAAAGCAACAAAGTTCTAAACTTTCAATATACTGCCCTTTTATATATTTTCCTTCACCTCTTCTCTAAAATTCAAAATATTAGATAAAGTCAAATTTCCATCGATGGTGACAAAGCATGATGAACTTGAATTTCTATAGGATATAAATGCATGTATCACGAGTTATCAAGTTAAAATAAAGCTCACAAGGGACTTGATATTCCCATTGCACACGCATACATTCCCAACCAATAACATATGTAGCATAGCATGTGGCATGAATTAATTGACCGACTTTGGTTAGCGTTAGGGTGCTAATTCCAAAAAAAAATCAAAATTGGCAATTTATACATGTACCCCATCTCACGAATATGCATAATGATAAGCCTTGTAAGGTGATACAGATAAATTTTACATGCGGAATTTATTTTAACACGTTAATGAATATCCTTATACGTGACAAATTATCGCAATATGAAAAAACTTTACAAAATCGCTAATTCTGATTTATTGTTATTTAATTATTGTCGCAGATCATAATGAAATCGGATTAAAATGAAATGAGGGGTTCTATTTGACCCTCTAAAACCCACTTATACTTGTTTATTATAAAACCTGCTTCTAAACCCTAATCCTAACCCTAAAAAATGCTAAAAAAATGCACCCCAAAAATTTGTATTTTTCGGTGGCTTGTCTATTTTACACTATCCCTCATTTCATTTTAATCTGATTTCATTTTAATCTGCCACATTTTATCTATAAAACCACTCTTTCTAACCTAAATTAATAGCAAAACCTAACTCTAATCTAACAGCAAAATTTTTTTGGCGAAATTATTTAGGTTGGTAACACTAGATCAGTTCGCGAGGTTTACGTGCGGATCCCGCGCGTTGCCCATCAATTGAATCACACATCTAATTTATTATCTATTTATTATCTCTATTTATTTCACCATTTTCCATCTGCCTTTCTTATAAATACACATATTCTTCTTTTTTTTCTCTTATTCTTCTACTTTTCGCTCTTGTTTCCCTTTCTAGGTTACTATCCTAAGCCAAACACAGCTTCATTATAAACCAACACTTCCAGTAACAACTGTAATTCGCTCAACCAGGCAAATGATTGGCTGACACGTGCCACAAAGGGAACGTGTTCATTGGCCCGGTTGACCAAATTCCTGTTATTTGGTAATTTTTACCAATATTTTATACTTAAATATATATAATCAAATGTTCATAAATATATACCGTTCGCCACTGCATACAGCATCCCCCAAAATAATACCCCCTTGATTAAGACCCGGGTATTATTCATCACCATCCTAGCTTGATTCTTGAATAGTACCCGGGGTTTAACTATATGAATTTATTACTGTTCATATGAAATATCCCCAAATATAGTACCCGGTTCCTCACACAGTACCCACGGGTACTATTCAATTTAAAAAATGAAATTCTTGGATAAGACCCCGGGTACTGTATGCAGTGGCAAACGGTAGTTTATTTTATATTCAGGTTAATAAATGTTTATATTCAAAATGAAATTAACAAAAATATTAATAAAAAACTTATTTTAAATATTTAGATTAATTATACTGATTGCTTAACATTATATTTTTGTTTCCTGAATATATTTATCTAGGTAGCTGTTACTAGCTCTGAATTAAGAAATTATTATTTGTATTCAAAGTAATTTTGTCTATATATACAGTATCTATGTAGTGATTAGACTCGTGTTGACTCGCGATTCACGAATTAAATTCAAGTTCTGCAGGTGCCGGCACGCGCACATTCCAGAATTATAGCACTTGCAGAACATATGGGCCGATTTGCGTCATTACTATTAAAAATGGTAAAATATTTGACATTGAATAACATTTTATTCACTGATCCGTTAGGGATGATTTTACCACCAAAATGACCGTCTCAAAGAGACAATTCTAACGAGTCTAAAATTATTGAAATCCAATCATGGGATCCCAAGATAATTAACGTTTTGTTTGCTTCGGGTAACATAGGATGGGTTAAACCCATCCTATCTTACCCGAAGCAAAGAACTTTCTAATTATCTTGGGATTCCATTATTGGATTTCAATAATTTTAGACTCGTTAGAATTGTCTCTTTTAAGACGGTCATTTTGGTGGTAAAATCATCCCAAACGGATCAGTGAATAAAATGTTATTCACTGTCAAATATTTCACCATTTTTAATAGTAATGACGCAAATCGGCCCATATGAGATCATTTGATCGAGTTGATTTGTCCGAGTTATTCGAGTCACAAAAATTAAGCAAATATATTCATATTCCGATCCCAAAGGCAAGCTTATTTTCAAACTTTTTTTTTAGGTGAGGCGCTTATTTTTAAACTTTATTAGTATACATAACAATTTTGTAATATACACGTATTTTGATCCGAATCATGGTTATTCGATTCACGAGTTGACGAATTCAATCACTATATTTATGATATCAAAATATTGATGTCTATCTAATTACAATTATATTAAATCACATGTGCCGTATCTGTCGAAGTAAATATTTTTAAACTCATGTGAATGATCTTGTTTTGTAAATATATGTACAATCAGAGGCCCAAAGAAAAATTTTGTAAGGTGGCTTTCGTGAAATTGTAACAGAATTAATACGGCCCATTCTGGAACAGACAAGCCCGAAACGGTAGTACAGACTATAACGTTGAATATACTTGTCCTTTTTTTAAGATGACAATTCTATTGACAAAACTTAACACTCAGAGAACTTTTGCTATTAACACCGTTTTCGTCTAATGAATGCTATTAACACCAGTTTGCCTATCGGATGTAAATAAGGTATGCAAATAGAATATCGAGAGAACGGAAAGAATAGCGAAAAGCACAAGACGCCACAAAAAAAAAACACTTCAAAACAAGATCAAAAGAAGATCGATCTTAATTAACAGTATATCAATCAATGTATTTTTTAAATGTTATTAAAATTGGGTAAAAGTATTATCGATCATTCAGAACGAAGCTTACAGGACAAGCTTGCAGCCACTGCAGATTAATCAGTGTGTAGCGGTAGATAGAATCTTAATAATGTAAGGGACTTCCTTGATGGTATTGTTTGATGAGGCTGATTGATTATTTTTAAATCTATGCTATCCTTATATATCATAATCGATCAAATCAATCCTTGACTGGCTATTATTACCTTAAAATAACAATAGCACATAGCCACAAAAACAGGAAAAAAAACAAGCAATTACTCTAATTTTATTTGAGTGTAGTTTGCATAAATTTATCTTTTTCTTCGATCCGTCAATAATTTGAGAACGAAAATGATATCATTAGAAAATGCTCTTTTACGTGATATTAAAAATTTATCTAACGAATCCGAAGGCTATGACGTGATGCTACAGGTTGGCCAACATCCTGAAATCGATAGCTTTAGAGCGCACTTTTTAATACTGCATGCCAGATCATCTTATTTTCGATCGATCTTGTCATCCAACAAATGGGGTGAGGAAAGTAATGAATGTGTATTGTTGTTGCCAAGTATCTCACCTTGTGTGTTCAAAGTTCTTTTAGGGTTTGCATTTTTTCCTCCCTATCGTAGATGTTTTCATATGTGTTGTTGTAAATATTTACTTTAAAGGCTTAAATTCTTTATAAATCAGCTATATCTATAGCGGTTCCATTAATATGAGTGACACAACGATCAAATCTATCTACCTTGATCTTCTAACTGCCGCAGATGAATTAGAACTCTCAGAATTAACCGAAAATATGCAAGAGTATCTTATTTCTCATGAAATTGATTGGATACGCAACAATTTCTTTAATCTACTTCAAACAACCGCTAAATCCAAAGCTTTTACAAAGCTTGAAAATTTTTGCCAAGAAATTTTCCGTACGAATCAAGCCTCGATTTTGACTTCAGATGGTTTTCTTGAATTGGAAGCAGACTTCTTAGTCTCCTTATTCAAGAGAGACGACATAGTTCTCGATGAGATTTTAATCTGGGAATCTGTTATTCGTTGGGGAATGGCACAAATTAAATTGAATACGGATGTATCACAGTGGACCAATCGAGATTTTATCAGATTAAAAAAAGCTGTTAAAAACCTAATTCCACATATTAGATTTTTCAATATTTCTGGAATAGATCATAGAACAAGGGTTCGCCCATACAAAAAAATTCTTCCAAAAGCATTAAAAGAAGAAATTAAAGATTATTTTTTTGCCCAAGTTCCTCCAAAGAAATTCTGTAAACTCCCACTACGTGCCATTAAAAACGAATCCAATGGATCAATTGCTAATAATTCAGATCATGAGACCTTTACCTCCATTGATTCTATTCTTATGGATACAAATGGGTTCTGTCAGGTTGCGGCATGGATTGATGATAAGTCAGAACCATACTTACCAGCCGATATCCCTTATGAATTTAATTTATTGTTCCGTGGAAGTAGGGATGGCATGACTAATGCTCGAAAATTTCATGAAATTTGTGGATATCAAGGCGCTACTCTTATAATTATTAAAATTGTAGAGTCAAATAAAATTCTTGGAGGTTACAATCCAGACGATTGGATTTGCAGCAATGGCTGGACCACAAGACTTAATAGTTTTATATTCTCCATGGAAAGAGACGGTGGAACTATAAAAAATATAATTTCACGTATAAAAGACCCTAAACATGCAATTTGGAATTCTGCAGGAAATCCTTCATTCGGGTCCGACTTACAATGGTTTGTTGGACTTTGTGTACCTAAGTCATATAAAACACCAATTTATGAATCAACTCTATTTTCACTAATTAATTTTGAGGTTTTTAAAATTGAAAAAAATATTTATAAAAATGATAACGTTAAAAAAGCAAAGATTGTTTATGATTCTGACGATACTGTTGAAAGTGATTCAGACTATTTAGACGTTGATAAACTATAATAATATGCCGTGTATTTAACGTTCATCTCTTTAGCAATTTTAAATTGATAATTTTTTACTAATTTTATGTAGATACTTTTTATGGTTGATGTGATTTAAGTAAATGTGTTTAAATGTTAACGAAATTTAACAGAAGCTCTCAATTATCTGGGTCCATTTATCATCTCATTTTTTATGAAACGTTGAAGAACCTAATTAATTGCCTTCCTGTGCAACATTCGCACTGATCTTAAAATCGTTTGCAGAGCAAAAACCTGTAGCTGACCATAGTAAATCATTATGGATCAGTTACAGGTTTTCTCTCTGCAGCACTCGTTTGTGAATTTTCTTGTTAGTATAAACTCTTACCGCACGTGAATACTGAGCCTCGGAGTCCACTAGCTCTCAGACCCGGGCGATGCCTCGGGGGCTCGGTTTCAATTTTTTCTAGTTTTGAAGTTTTTTAAATTTATATTTTAGGTTATAGATATAGTCCAGATATATAGTTTTAAATTTTTTATATTTTTTTTTAATTTGTATAATGTATATTGATAAAAATAGTCTATTTATAGAAAGCATTTATTAACAGAATTAAAAAACAATTAATTTAATAAACTTTGGTAAATTTTGTTTCAATCTATCCAAATTCTGTCACAACTACAAGTCTGGAATGTAATTAATAAATATATAATAAAGAATATTTAATTCTTAAAAAATAAAAAAAAATACAAAACAAAATAACTAAAAACTTTGTTTTTAAGACTATCTGTTATTTTATAACCTTTATACTAACTTAGCTGTTATAAATTACAGGTTACTCTCGTTAATATCAACCTATTTGAATTGGTTTTAAATCATGTTGATAGTGATATTAACGAGAAATCATATTAAAGTTGACATATATGAGGGAACTTTGATATATAAAAATTTATAAAAATTTGTTTTGTGGCTTAGGTTGATATTAACGAGGTTGATATTAACGGGGGTAACCTGTACTATGAGAAAG